CCCCTGCTTGTGTTCCCTCTCTCGCTGTGTCTCTCTCTGTCAAATAAATAAATAAAATCTTAATAAAATAAAATAAAATAAATGACTTTTAATTTTTCTTTTGAAAAGTGAACAGTTGAGGTGCTTACGCTCCTACAATGCTGACACTTCCTTCTCTTTCAGGATTTCCAAGACATTTCACCCGGCCTGCTCGCTCATAGAAAGAGGCCAGACGGGCACCAAGATATGCAGGATATCCACTATCTGAAAAAATGAAAAGAAATTTAAGAGAGGGTCTAAGCCAGTCCTAAAAATCTTATCAGCCTTCTTACATGATAAGCAATACAAAGATTTACCTGCAGGCATTTCAGCTAAGCGGCCAGAGATTTCTCTAAGAGCCTCTGCCCATCTAGAGGTAGAGTCAGCCATCATACTGACATGATAACCCATGTCACGGAAATATTCTGACAGTGTAATTCCTAAATTGGGAAGAATATCGCAAGTTATAATTCTACAATGTAGAAACCTTACTTTGTCACTCTTAAGAAAACTTTAAAATAAGTACATGAGGTAGACTGATAGCTGTTCACCAAAATCTGTTCTCCCTCTTCTTTTATGCACACAGTTGAATTATGTTTCCTGGCCTCCTTAATATTTAGATATGACCATGTAACTGACCTTGAGCTGATAGAATGAAAGTCAAAGTAATGAGTTCCATCATCAGGCAAGCCACACATCCTTTCATGCTCTTTATTCCTTCTGACTTACTAAGATAGAGAGGACTCCCAGGAGCTCTGGAAGTCATGAGTTGAAAATGAAAGAGTACTTTTCAGCCTGGGTCCCAGCCCAGAATGACAGAATAAAAAATAGACGCTGACCACTTAAAAAAAACATCTATTATACTGAGCAATGACAAGTTTGGGTTTATTTGCTGCCATAGCCTATTCTAATATAATACACATTTTAAAAAGTAGGAAAAGACTTTTTCCCTATTCCTTGTTGAGATAATTATGTCTGAAATTAATTTCCACTGTAGCTTTTATCTACATATCACACATACACATACCAAACCCCAACTAATTAGCTTGTTTATTTTTCAAAAGTAGCAAATGTTATTAACCTGACTAATATCTTAATTATCCAGATCATTCTGCTGTGCATATTAGGTTCCATTCTTTTAAATCACTATTGTAAACCATCTAGAAAAAGAGTCTAACGTACAGAAAGAAGTCCCGGGTTCTAGTTTCTGTTCTGTCATTAACCTCAGCAAACTAGCTTCATTTCCCAGTGTGGTTTCCTAATCTGTTAAAATGGAATAACTCTTGCTCTATCTATCTGTACATATCAGATGAAATGATACATATAAATGCCCTTTGAAAAGTACAAGGTACTATGCAACTCCAACATATTAGAAAGTTATAGTTGTTACTACATTGTAAGAGCCCCCAAATCTAATGCCCTGATTCCTTTATTTTACCCGTAAAGAAACAGAGGCATATATAAGTAAAACAAAATAGCACTCAAAAATTCAGCAATTTACTATTTATCATATCACATCTTTCAGAATAAGAAATACTGATATCTGAGGCTTTTAAAAAATGATTCCATGATCAAAGTCTTAAAAAAATATCACTTCTCATTATTAAGGCTTAAAAAAACATATTCGTCATCACATATTCCAATGTGATGATAGGATCAGGTCCTCTCTTATACCAGCATGGCTACATTTTCAGTCTGTGTGACGATGCTCATTAATGCTTGTGTGTATGTATTAGAAAGACTTGGTGGAAGAGACAGATACATATGAGTAAACTTCAAAGGAGTTTCACAGACCTAATGATATCAGCGCCTACCAGTTTAAAAAAAACAACAAAACAACACCTTAGACAAAATCAAAAGATGAACAAACTGGGAAAACAGTGGCAACTCATGATAGATAAAAGACCCTTTTCAAAGAGCTTTTATAAATCAGTATGAAAAAGAACTCCTATCCAAAAGGAACGTGGACAGAAAGCAGTTTTCAAATGGTTAATACAAAGAGCAAAGATGCTAGCTCACTGAAAGAAATACAGACTGAACAGGTATCTAATAAAGCAGGGATAGTAAAATGCTAATTGTCAAATCTGGGTGCTAAGAACGCAATATTCTTTCAAATGTCTATGTGTTTGAGAATTATCCTAAGAAAGTGGTACAAAACCTAGCACTGGTGAAGATGTGGAGAAACAGAACTCTTGCTCGCTGTTACCCCTTTTGAAGGGCTATCAAAATCTAAAATCTATATTAACAGTTGTATGCTTGGCAATTTTACTTCTACAAATTTACCTTACAAAAATGTACAAAGAAACGTGCACAAAACATGAAAAGAAACTATAAAAAACACACATAAGGATGTTTTAGTGATGCAAGGTTTGTGATAGCAAAAAAACGATCAATAATCCATGTGTCTACCAGAAAGATGCTGGTTAAATCAGTTATGATATAGCCATACAGCTGGGATACTGTGCAGCTATTTAAAAGAAGACTTCCTGTCTTAAAATAGTAGATGAATAGGTCACTTTTCCCTTCTCACACAAGTAATCACCAAACAAAGAGAACAAGAAATACAAAAACTCTATTATCAGGGCACCTGGTGGCTCAGTCATTAAGTGTCTGCCTTTGGCTCAGGTCATGATCCCAGAGTCCTGGGATCGAGCCCCGCATCAGGCTCCCTGCTCCGTGGGAAGCCTGCTTCGCCTTCTCCCACTCCCCCTGCTTGTGTTCCCTCTCTCGCTGTGTCTCTCTGCCAAATAAATAAATAAAATCTTTTTTTTTTTTTAATTTATTTATTTGACAGAGAGTTAGAGAGCACAAGTAGGCAGAGCGGCAGGCAGAGGGAAAGGGAGAAGCAGGCTCTCTGCTGAGCAGGGAGCCCGATGCGGGGCTCGATCCCAGGACCCTGGGATCATGACCTGAGCCGAAGGCAGCCGCCCAACCGACTGAGCCACCCAGGTGCCCCTAAATAAATAAAATCTTAAAAAAAAAAAAAGATAACCATAAGAGAAGAGAAAAAGTTTCAGAAACAATTCTTGAAAATTTTCCAAAAAAATAAAAGACATCTTCATAGGTTGAAAAGGTAAGTAAGTATGTTTCAGGAAAAATTTATCAAAACTATCAATACTGGCATATATCCTAATAAAGTTATAAAACTTTAAAGAGAAATTTCTTTGAGCAAAAAGAAAAATCATCTATAAAAGGGAAAAAAGCAGGTCGGCTTCAGATCTCTATCTGGCATTATTTTTTTAAAGATTTATTTATTCTGAGAGAGAGAGAGAGAAAAAGGGAGAGAGAGAAAGAGAGAGAGCTCATATGAGTGAGCACAACAGGAGAAGCAGAGGAAAAGGGAGAGAGAATCCCAAGCAGACTCTGCGCTGAGTGCGGAGCCCGATGCGGGGCTCGATCCCATGACCCTGAGATATTAACCTGAGTCGAAACCAAGAATCCGAGGCCAACTGCCTGCGCTGCCCAGATGCCCCTCTCTCCCTAGAATTTAATGTTAGAATAAGAGGTCTCAAGGAAACAAACACTGATCCAAAATATTTATACCCAGCCAAACTACTATTAAAATTTAAAGGCAGTGGAGGGGCACCTGACTGGCTCAGTCGGAAGAGTGTGCAAGTCTTGATCTTGGGGTCATGAGTTCGAGCTCCGTGTTGGGTGTAGTGATTACTTAAAGAGAAAAGAGAAAAAGGAAGAAAATTTAAAGGCAGTGGAAAAAACCAAACTTATGAAGAAAAAAGAATCCATGGAATATAGTTTCCCTGAGCCTTTCTTGAAGAAACTTAAAAAAGTCAGATTTTAGCCAACCACGAAACAAATGGAGAAACTGTAGCCAAAGGACTGCTGTAGGGACTGACTCCATTTTACTCTAGGTTTAAGGCTAATACAAATATTGTATGTATGGTTACACAACAGAATGTGAATATTATAAATCCTGAAAATGTAGAAATAAGAGTACCAAAAGCTGGGATAGAAGTAGGAGCAAAGATGGGAGGTAATACATAAACACACTGATTTTCTTATCTTATATATCTAGCCATCAAAATACAATAATTCAAAACTAATGTTTCAAGTTATAGAGCTACAGGTATACTTGGAGTTAGAACAATGGTAAAACATGTAATGAAAAAAAAAAAACAGTGTAGAAGATGTGTCATTTTATGGTCATGCTAGCTTTAAACTTAAGAACAGGTGTAAACTTCCTTTTTTTTTAAAGATTTATTTATTTATTTTAGAGAGAGAGCGAGAGAAAAACAGAGGGCGAGCAAGTGGGGGAAGGGGCATAGGGAGAGGGAGAAAAATCCCAAGCAGACGCCCCACCAAGCACAGAGCCTAACGCGAGGCTTGATCCTAGGACCCTGAGATTATGACCTGAGCCAAAATCAAGAGCTGGATGCTTAACCAACTGCACTACCCAAGTGCCCCAGATGTAAACTGCTTTTATTCTAATTCATATACTCACCAGTATAAATAGAAGCTTCTCTAGCAGCAACAGGCATATTGGAGGTATTGGCTACCAAGGCTGTCCTCTTCATAATTGATTCCACCTTACCATCAACTTCCATCGTGAGCTAAAGGCAAACAATCTATTTTGATCCTCTAATTTCCAAATAGAACATTTTAGTCCCCCTTTTTACAATTTACCCATACTTAATCCCTCTTATAATCAGTTTTCCAAGAGTGGTATTTCCCATCACTCCAAACTTTTCTTCCTGCCCCACTGTGCTTTTATTTCATAAATGAAATCCATTATTTTATGGAAAAAGGAGTATTAGTTTAGCAACCTAGTAGAGCATATAAAACCGATATAAAGTTCCCATCCATAAATATTTTGTCTATTTTATCTTTCTCCTAATAACTGAAGACCATTAGACCACAAAAAGAAACTTTAAAGTATTTGACTGAAAAATTCAAATTCCTTTCCTTGAATATACAAATTGAATCACAAATATAATTAGAAAATTCCTTAAGAGATCCTTGACAAATGAGAGCATTTCTCCAGATCCAACACAAAGCTTTATTAATTGCCACTGAAAGTTGATTAGTGGTATTTTCTTGAGAATAATATTTGAAGCTTTATACATACGGACCTCTGGGAAGTCCCGGAGGACTTCGGACATCTCATTTCCTCGTTCACCACATCCTACATAGATGATCACATCACTGTTGGAATACTTGGATAGAGACTGTGATATCACTGTCTTTCCACAGCCAAAAGCCCCCGGGATTGCAGTAGTTCCTCCCTGTACACATCTAAGCAAAGAAAACAAAGTGCATTACTTTATTTGCTAATAAATACTAACAAATAAAGTAGGTAAGTGACACAGAAATACAAGTTAAGGAAAGAAAGCACTTTGAAATATTTTCATCCTAAATACAAAGATAGATATACAGATACAGCTACAAAAATTGCTCCCCCAGTTGATACCTGTAACAGTGTACTTTTTTTTATTATCATTACCATTTCTACCACCTTTAACAGCTGGAAAGTGAGAATATATGCTATAAGGTACCTGGGGAAAAGGAATTTGAAAATAAATAAAACAGTACTAATGATTTTTAGAATGCTTATATAGATTAGTTCAGGAAAGCACAATGTAGGAATTAAAGCTAAAAGACAAATTTAAACAACTTTACTAAGTTGTCTTCTGAGGCAAAAAATAGGACCTAAGAAAATCATATCCTGCCATAAAGGTTAATGAACGAAGACTTTTGTTAAGGTGTCATTGTCAATCCCCTTTTACACACTCAGTAACTATTTATAAAGTACTTCCTAGGCACTGCTTGGAGATACTGGAGAGACACCAGCAAATAAGATAGCCATGTTTCTGTCCGCACAGAGCTCATTCCAGCGGGGTAAAATAAAGAGGCAGCTGGTGATTACAGCGCCATTTAGCAGCTACATTCAAACTTTCCCTACGAAGTGGCACAGGAGAGTGAACTACCCTTAAGGGCAGAGGAAAGTGCATGTCGTGGTGTGTGTCCGTGTGTGTGTGCACATGCTAAGTGTGTATGTAGAGCAGGCGGGTATAGGCAGGAGAAATGAAATGTAATGCTAAGGGAAATTTCTTTGCAATACTGTGTTTTATTATAAAATTCACAGAAACACTATAGCCTTAATAATAACGATAGACTTCTTCAATATAAAACTAATATGCATTAAAGTTTTTTTCTCCTTCAAACTTTTCAGTGACTTTGATAAACTAAGAAGGCATGTCCATTCATTCCATGGCTTTGTTTACCTCTCTCAAATCACTTTTAACTTGGGTGGGGAGGCAGGGCTGGGTGTGACCCAGTTTGGAAGTTCAATGTGAAATTCAATGTGAAAAGTGCTTTCATAGAGAATAGCCAAGGTGCTATGGGAGAACACCGGAAGGGATGCAAAGTCTGACACTGGATTGGAGTGGGGTTAGGAGATCCTTCTGACAGTAGCTAAGACCTGAAAGGAAACAGAAATTAGCCAGACAAAGGGAAATAATGTTCCAAGCAGAGGAAACAGCATACCCAAAGGTCCAGGGGCAAGAGGGAGCACTGCTTGAGGAACCAGAAGTCCTTCAGGATGCCTGGAAGATGATATATAAGGAGCTTGGGCAGTCAAGTGGCTGAGATGATACTGGAAGGTAAGCAATAACCCGATCACAGATGGTTTTGTAAGGAGTTAAGGAGTATTTGTTTTAAGAGCAATGAAGTGCAGTTAGGGGCTTCAAGCAAAACAGTGCAGGACCAGATATATGTTTTAGATGGGTCATTTTGTAACATGGACAATCACTTAGAAAGAAGGTAAGACTGAAGAGAAGTCTGATTAAATGTGATTATTGCAGGAATTAGGGTAGGATCCTTAATTAAAGTCATGGAGTAGGGATGAAAGACGTAGATTAAAAAATATCCAGGTAATAGAATAAAAGCACTTGTTCAATAATTAGATGTGGGCAGGTAAGAATGATCCTTGAGAGAAGTCACAGATTTTACATTAGGCATTTACCGGATGGACGACAGTGACATCTGCTCAAAGAGGCAACAAAAAAAAGATGAGCAAGTTTCAAGGAAGATAGTGGTGATTAAGATGATGATTTGAGCTATGAATATACTGACTCTGAGGCACCTCTAAGGCATTCAAAAGGAGAGGTATGAACAGAAGTGAACATGTGAGTCTGGAACTCACATGAGATCTGGGAGGAAGATACAGATGTGAAAGTCATCATTTTAATATTTAATATTTAAGTCATGAGAGTGAAAAAACTCTAAGAAATATCAAAATTAAGGGAGAAGGGAACTGAAATGGAGAATAAGAACTTGTGGACAGAAGCTAATAGGAAAAACAAAGAAAGAGGGTATTTGAAGGAGGAAGGAGTAGAAAGCAATATCCAAAGTTGTAGCAATTAAGGAAATATTAAAACTTATTGAATTATCAGTACGGGAGTGAATGATGATGTTAGTGAGAGTAGTTTCAACCGGGTGGGCAACAGAGTGAGAGTGGAAAAAGTGGAGATGGCAAGTTTATTTTTTCAAGAGGTCTGGCTATGAAGATGAGGAGACAAGTAGTGGAAGGTAGAAAAGGGAAAGGATGGAGGGTAGAAATTTTTTCATTAGATGGGAGATAAAGGGAAGATAACCTTGAAGCTTATCTAAAGGGAGATAACCTAAAGTGAGGTCCCAGAGGAGACATGAGGTGGGATATACTCCAGAAAGAGGAAAGAAAAAGGAACGGATGGAAGTGTACATTAATTGAAGGAGTTTCAAATGTGATGACCTCTAACTTCTCTGTGAAGGCTCTAGCATGATCATTTGTTGCCAAAGAAGGAAGAATGGAGCTGAGGCCTTGAGGCAGGTGCGGATGTCTGAAACAGCTGCTGAGGAGAGGAGGAGAATGGTAAACAGGGAAATTCAGGACTGTGACCCAGCAGTGAGGTACTAACTTGCACTGATTATTTGATTTTCTCAGCAGCCTGTGTGTAGATCTGGAAGAAGGGTATCCCCTTCTGGACTGATTCACAGTTGGGATTTTGCTGGGTGGGTGTAACAAAAACAAAGGAACAAGAAAATTTAGTATACCGGCAAATATGCAGAAAATTGACAAACTAGTAAGCTTAAGCTAGATACTGAAGGATATGGAAACAGGAAGTGCTGACTAATAAGTCACGAGAAATAGCGAGAACAACTCAGAGAGTAAGTTTCAAGGTTCAGTGGGACGTATGTGGGTCAGTGATCAAGGTTGAGGGAGTTACTGTATCATGGCTTCAGTCTTTTCTGTGAATTAAATGATGAAGTCATTTGTTGAAAGTAAAGCAGGGTATGGTGAAGCCTGAGAATTAAAGATGTTTTAAGCAGTCAAAGAAAATGGCAAAGAGCAGACTATAAATTAATAGAGAGTCCTGAGCAGCATGGAGAGCTCCGCTGATTTTAGAAACCACCAACTTATAGTGATACCAATCAACTAAATCCAGGATAACTTAATAAAGATAGTTATATCTTTGGGCATAGATTTTCTTCTGGAAATTTTATTTTTTCAGAAAGTTTTAGAAAAAAAACCTTCCCTTTTGCAACTGTGAAACAATAAATTTTCAATGATTTGACTCTATAATAAGCATTGGCAATATATGAATGTATTTATCTAGTTCACTATTATTTCTCTAGATAAAATTTATTATAGGATTAGCACATTAAATCTTTATCTATAAAGCAGTGAAACAATAAGCACATATAATCCTCTGAGGAAAAATCACAGGACACAGCTCAAACTTACGGAAAAAGGGCATCAAGGACCCTCTGGCCAGTCAACAAGGGATGATTAGCCGGCAGCTTCTCAGTGACAGGCCGAACTTGACGTACAGGCCATACCTGGACCATGCTAAACTTTTCCTTTATACCTTCAAATTCAAGCTCCAAGACAACATCCTATAAAAATACAGCAGGATGTTAAGTACAGTCAAATTTATGAACATTCCTTCCTCCAAAATCAAAGTAATCCCAGATTCCTCTTGAGGTGGAGAGGTGGTATGTGGAAGTGAAGGAGATTTGTACTTCTTATTGCAAACCTTTATATAGAATTCTCATTTTTTTTGACCAGGTGCACTTATTACTGTTTCAAGAATTAAAAAATAGGAGTTTTTGAGAAAGAGGTATTTCAAGTAACAAAGGAATAGTTAAATGAATTATATGGATATGCACAGGGACAAGTCTTAAAAGATATAGAAATGAAATGGGGGAGAAATAAAAACTTTCATAATTTACTTTGTATTCTTTCATTTACTTTATTACAATGCTCTTACACTGATTTAATTAAAATACTTACCTATTATGAACCCTGAAATACTCAATAAAGTTCAATATTAAATATTTACAAAAGCAAAAAGGTAATACTCTAACATTTATGAACACTGGGATGGTTTCAACTATTCACAAACAACCCCAACGTCCACAGACCTATAGAAAGCAGTAACTTTGTTGATACGTGAATTTGAATTATCTACCTCAGAGTGTTTCTTCCATGTAGGAGTGTGTGAGTCTCTAAGCTAGTGAGTCAGGCTGGCTGACTGCCCAGAATCCCAATCTTAACTCTTTTGTTCTCTATATTTTGTAGAGAACAGACTTACTCTTGTGAAATGATTAGAAAAGTATTCTTTTATCACATTTTGTTGGGAACAGATTATTTGTTACAATGGTCTTCTTAATAAAGTTATCTTCATACCCACAAAGACTATTATGAGTCTACTGTACTTGATATGATGTGACTATCAATAACATTAAAGGACTAAGTTTTAAGTAGCTCATCCAGAGTTAGAATTCATATAATCCGTCATACAATTTATTATGTAAATATAGACTGACAGTTAAAATCAAAGTAAGTCTATGCTACGCCTAGGGCTTTAAGTAATGTCGCATAAGAAGGTAGGAAAATGTTATACTACATATTGCTTTCCGTTAAAAAAAAAAGCAAACAACTCAATATGTTCTGCTTTTTGTATTCCCAAGCCCAAGTTTAAAAATAAAATCATAAAAAAAATCTTAAAAAAATAATTATAGGAATTATTTACAGCAAACAACAGGTGTTGGCAAGGATGTGGAGGAAGGGGAGCCCTCTTGCACTGTTGGTGGGAATGCAAACTGGTGCAGCTACTCTGGAAAATAGTATGGTGGTTCCTCAAAAAGTTAAAAATAGAACTACCCTATGACCCAGCAATTACACTACTAGGTAATTACCCAGAAGATACAAAAATACTGATTCAAAGGGGTACATGCATGCCGATGTTTATAGCAGCATTATCAACAACAGTCAAATTATGGAAAGAGCCCAAATATCCATCCACTGATGAATGGATAAAGAAGAGGTGGTATATATCTACAATGGAATATTAGCCATAAAAAAAGAATGAAATCTTGCCATCTGCAACAATGTGGATGAAGCTAGAGAGTACTATGCTAAAAGTGAAATAAGTCAGTCACAGAAAGACAAACACCACAGGATTTCACTTGTATGTGAAATTTAAGAAAAATAGATGAACACGGGGAAAAAAAAAGGGAGGCAACCATAAAACAGACTTTTAACTGTAGAGAACAAACTGAGAGTTACTGGAGGGGAGATGGGTGGGAGATGGGCTAAGTGGATGATGGGTATTAAAGAGGCCACTTGTGATGAGTGCTGGATTTTATATGTAACTGATAAATCACTAAATTCTGCACCGGAAACTAATATTGCACTGTATGTTAGCTAAGAGGAATTTAAACAAAAACTTGAAAAAAGTGAATAAGGGAATCTAACGTACAACATGATGACTGTAGTTAACAGTTTGTGTTATATACTTGAAAGTTGCTAACAGAGTAGATCTTAAATGTTCTCACCACACAGACACAAAAATTAAGTACATGATGTGTTAACTAACCCTATTGTGGTAATCATTTTATAATAGATAAGCAAATTAAATCATCATGGTAAAAAAAAATTATGGAGTGATTTAAAACCTACACATTAAGTATCAATTCTATGACTATATAGGACACTAAAATGGGACAATTATCAGGTACGGCCACACTATGAGATAAAGTTTATACAATACTTACTGAGGTATCATAATTTCCAGGTGGAGCAATGTAAGTTACAGTTCCTCTGTTTCGTGGGGGTAACATGATTTTGTGTTTGATGAGTGAGTTCTCATTGACAATTCCATAAATATCTCCACCAGTGATGTGACTACCAACCTAGAGAACAAATGCATTTGCTGTTTAATGTTCAAATAAGCATCAAGCTGTTTAATGTTTAAATAAATGTCAAGTAGATTCATACTTGCTGCTGCTATTATTTAAATCATTTGCCTCACTCATCAATAAAACATATTAGTTCTATAATTCTTCTAGTACATTTAAAGAAAAATTTAAACTATGCTTCTGTGGTCTATTTTTATTTGACTAAAGTACAAAATAGTTCACTAAACATCCATTTCACATTCTTTCACCGACTTTAGAAACCTTGGTTATAAAGACATACCCGTAGGTTTTTGCAAGGTGTAAAATCCCATTTGACATCTCTGCTAAGAGCGGACACATTTACTCCTCTGGGAATGTAGATACTTTGAGTCTGACTGCTGATATCTGACAAAGGTCTCTGAATACCATCAAAAATGGCGCCCATAATGCCAGGCCCGAGCTCTACTGAGAGGGGTTTACCAGTGCGGAGTACAGGATCTCCAACAGATACACCAGCTACAAACAGTAGTTGAGGAAAACTCACTATGAAAGTTTAGAGACACTATAAGAAGGAAACACCACAGCTGAACAGGAAATGCTACTTAAGAAGCTAAAACAGAAATTCTCAAACTTTCTTAGTTTGCAACATCCTCAGTGTTTCAGTAACTGTTTCACAGTGACCTATGACAAAAGATATATTTAATAATTCCATTTATTAAATAGTTCTATCCAACCAACTTAATAAATACATATGTCCTAACAACTGTCACTTTAAGAGAAAAATATATATAGAGACTTAAAGAAAAAAATAGTATTTTAATTTCATTTTTAAATAACATCAGTTCCTCAAATGGGATGTAAGTGCCTATTGGGCACTGTAAAATTTTCAAATCTTAGAATCAGACTGAACGCCTGCTCCACATTTATTTTTGTATGATACCTGCTTTTTAGCTTAACAATCACCAAACACTCAGCTTTGCAAAGATATGACATCATTGACAAAAACATAGTGAGGCTGAATAATGAAAGTGTCTATTAACTGAAGCTACTGGTTCACATGATGTCTGACAACATGTCTAATATTCCTGTGTTAACCTCAAAAATTTTAAATATCCTGGCACATCAAATGAGTTTGCAGCAGCTGCCCAGTGTGCCTTCTGCACAGTTTGGGAACCACAGAGCTAAAAGCAGAAGCAATACATTGTTGTTTTCTTTTTTTTTTACTACTGAGGAATATCAGTCCCCTAGAAAGGATATTAGTACCTGGGCAAAACCTTAAAATCTTAAGAATTAAGAAGTGGTTTTGAAAAGGAAAAGAAGAAAACCTGCACATAAGCACACTGAAACCATGTTGCTCTCACATACTTGTTGACAGGAGTAAAATCAGTACAACTTTTACTGACAGCAACTCAGTAAAATCTATCAAAATTTAAAACGCATAAACCTTGACCCAAGAATCCAACTTCCGTGAATTCACACTATAGTTACACTATAACTCTGTTTATAATATATATAGGCTAGACACAACCAAAATTTCTATCATTAAAGAGATTAATAAATTATGGTATATTCATATGATGGAATTGAATGTAGCTGTAAAAAAAAAAAAAAAAAAGGAGCTTCAATTAATTGCTCTAGAAAGATCTCCAAAACGTATTTTAATTTCCAATATGAAACTTTTCAAACCTAGAGCAAAGTTGAAGGAATTTTACAGTGAATTCTTTTATCTACCAGTTAGATCTTACCATTAACATTTTCCTATACTTTATCGCATACCTATCCATCTTCCATAATACATATATTTTTAAGTAAAAAAAACAAGGTGTAGAACAATGCATATAATATGTGGTCTTTTGGGAAAAAAGGTTAGAAAAATAACATATTTATATTTGTTCATATATGCAATTAACAAACTAGAAGGATATACAATAAAAGGAATTAATAAAAATGGCTGCATGCATGCATGTGTGTTTTGAAAATTGGCCAGATATAGGATGACAATGGTGGAGAGGGTTGTCACGGTATACATGTTCATTTGTTTTTATTTTAAGTCTTCAAACCACATAAAAGATTGAAAGATAAAGCTAACATTAGGAAAAAAACCCTTAAAAAATCCTTTTAATTAGTCATGATTTCATAGCTATAAAGACTTATAATTTTATTTAAATTTTCAGATGATTTTATTTTGATTTAGCACCCTAGTACTCAGAGAGAGCAGTTACCTGAAAAAATGTATTTTATTATGGCAAAAAGTATTAAGTAAAGCTTAATTAAATAGCCAAAGAACTAATGCTGCCCCCATATTTATAGCAACATTACTTACAATAGCCAAGATATGTAAGTAACCTAAGTGTTCACTGATAGATTAATGGAAAAAGACAATGTAGCGTGTGTGTGTGTGTGTGTGTGTGTATAGAATATTGTGGCATATGTATATAGAGAGAATATATTGTGTTTTATATATATACACACGTTATATTACACAATAAAATATTACTCAGCCACAAAAAAAACAATGAAATCTTGCCATTCGCGACAACATGGGTGGACCTAGAAGGTCTGTGAAATAAGTGAGACAGAGAAATATAGAGAAAAAGAAATACCATATAATTTCACTTACATGTGGGAATCTAGAAAACAAAACAAATGAACAAACAAAAACAGAGACAGATTCATTAAATACAGAGAACAACCTAGTGGTTGCCAGAGGGGAGAAGGTTGGGTGGATGGGCGAAATAGGTGAAGGATATTAAGAGGTACAAACTTCTAGTTATAAAATAAATTAGTCATGGGGATAAAAAGGTACAGCATGGGGAATATAGTCAATAATACTGTAATAACTTTGTAACTCTGTTACAATAACAGAGGGGAACTACACTTACCACAGTGAGCATTTCATAAAGCACGTAATTGTCAAATCCCTATGTTATACACCTGAAACTAATATAATATTGTATGTCAACTCTACTTCAATAAAAATTTTTAAAAAATAAAAATAAATAAGAAGAATTAATGCTGATCTTGAGAATCAATTTAAGTAAAACATATAAGTAAAGTTAAAAAAAAGTGGTTCCTCTTCGCAAAGCCTAACACGTTCTCTTTTTCATAGAAAACCAAAAATAAATACTATGTTTAAAAGCCAAAAGTATGATAATCAAACAAGTAGTAAAGATTCCCTAGTGCTAAAGCTATAATGTAACATGTCATCCAGCATTATTTATTGGGATAAAGAGTAGTGACTGATTTATTTATGAATTTTCTATTTTAAATGGAATTTTAACCATATAAATCGATGTTATTCTGTTTATGCTTTCCTCTACAGTATGTGTCACTCTTAAGAAAAATGGAACTGGAGGGTATTTTGCTGAGCGAAATAAGTCAATCAGAGAAAGACATGTATCATATGATCTCACCGATATGAGGAATTCTTAATCTCAGGAAACAAACTAAGGGTTGCT